AGCATTTCTTTCACGGATGCATAGTATCAAGCTTTAAAATCACTTTTAATCTTTTTTCACCTGTCCAAATGTACATTAACATCAACATTCTCAAATTTTTGGCTCTACATAAAAGCCATATGTCTTTCAAGTATCTACAAACGTTCCAAAATATACTCTAGGACTAAGGAAGATCTATGTGAGGCTCATGATGTAAAAGCTCAAAAAGAAGATGGAATATCAACACTGCTAATGCGGTGTTTTTACTAGTATTATTTTCGACACCCTAACACACGTGACAACTAGACTAGGAAATATGTAAAAAAATCACAACAAAAGTTTACTTCAGTATAATCAGTTCTCTTTTAAATCTTTAAAGCTACCACTCATAGTGAATTAATGTATATTTTCAAATTTAAAAATTCACTAGGTTGCAAATGCAATTATATCTATCTCATAAGTAATAAAGGGCTCTAAGAGAGTCCTAAGTATTGATCCCACAAAGAGGTGGAAATTCTTATAATAATAACAAAAAGACGCATTATCAAAACTGAAGATAACTTAAGTAAGAAAGATGGTTAAATTTTGTATTAAGCAGCTAAAGAAACAATGTTAACTACACTAATCTCCAAGATTCAAAGTTAAATCTAATGCGACTGAGCTATGTTTTATAACTAAGGGTTCAAATTTTAGAAAATATACTTCCCATTTATGATGAGGTTATAGTTATTGAATTATCCAAATTGTCATAAATTGTATTATGCCAAATAAGAGAAATTATATTCTTTATCGTCTTTATGAGTGAAAAAATCGACATTGGATAATCCAGAGTTTGGTTCATAAATCCACGGTTAGGCTGGGAAGATACTAAGCTCTCACCTTAGAGTTCCCATGTTCCCCTCGCCTGAGGGCAACATCTTGCTTTATTTTCCAAACACCTAGATTAAATTGGGGATTTTAGTTTGTCACCCTAAAAACTTCAATTCTACACCCATCAAATCCTTATTTATTTGCACTCAACCCCATAGAATACATTCTCATTCATGAAATTAAATGTGATTTTTTACTTAGTTACAGAAAGCATAACCCTCTTCAATCATATGTTTTTATAATAAACATTAAAACTATCTTCAATTCTGAGTCATCCTCTAATAAGACTTCACTATATAAATTGCTTGAGGATGCATCACCTCCAACAACAAAACTATTATTGCCAAGAGAAGCAAAATATTTCCCTAAAAAAGGTGAATAGAAGGTTGAACCCAGGCAGTATGAAAATCATGCCTCATACAACACCATGACATTCCAATCCTTTATTAAATCAATGAGTTTATCTCCACTCAGTCATAAAAACTCAAAACCTTTCTTATTAGGAGAAATCCAAATTACAGATGCTCCCTCGGTGTTGGTCGAGGCCCTCCTCATTATTGACAATGGTTCAAACTAAAAAGCAGCTTCCCCTTTTGCTTACATTTATATTGTGAGAGACTCGCTCCAAAGACTCATCATCAATTGCAGGCTCCTCTCCACTCACAACACTTGTTTGCTGAAAAGTTGATGAAAGTGAGTAGATCGATACTACTTTCACTTTCCTCATCAATTTGGCTAAAGGTTCCCTCAAGTTTCTCCACTCTGATAGAACTGAAAAAAGAAATTATTGAGAAGGCAAAGTATTAGTTCATTGATCATCTTTTTCCACATAATTATTTCTCTCAGAGAGAATTAACTCATCAATTCCCCTCTTTTGAACAACTGAGGTAGAAGGTGAGATAGAGTGAAGGTACGAGCCCATACCTATGGTATTATCATTAGATCCTCCTCTCGACCTTCCTTCACGAGATCAATAACTACCTCCCCATCCATAATGTCCACTATTTCTTAGTCCCCCTTAATAATTATCTCAAACAACTGAAGGGGAGACTCTTTTAATAAAGGAGGAGCTTTTATTTAGTTGAGTATATCAGACTCTACATCCTTCACATTTTAGACTCAACTGAGATCCCAGTTTGACACCTTCATCTTCTCCTTCACTGTAGGAGAACAAACTGGCTTCACATTGATCGACCATCCTCTTTTTGAAAAGGCGAATAGAACTTCCTCTTCATGTCTCCAGTCCTAAAGAATTAGATAAATCCCTTCTGCAAGGTTTGATTAGTGATTTGAAAATTTTTATAACCAACAAAAAAATCATTCATCGTAAATACACCACTAGATTCTTGATTTTGGAAGGTGCTAAAAATTATTTGGGCCAGAATGACTCAAAATAAGTTAAATATGTCTACCAACACTTGGCAAAGAGGCATCGAAAGTTTAAGTCTAAACTGTTCTTAGTGAGAAAATAACAGGCAATGATTTTTCCATTTTTTCAAATAAAAAATTCAAAGGTGTGCTTAAAAAAATCGATCAAAACATCTTCAATCAGCCACAAAGAATGCCATGGGCTTGGTTCAAGGTGAAGGCAACATGTTAAAAAAGGAAAACAATAATAAGAATCCAAGAAAAAAAGATATACTAAAATAAATAAACATGGTGAAATCCCTTTTATAGAGGAGGAAAAAATCATGACTGCTTAAAGGGTAAAAAGGTAAAATGTAGTATTCTAGATATAAAAAGTCACATTAGATAATACCATCAAATCATTACAAAAAAAGTAAAATTTTTATTCTGAAAAACATTTTAACTTTAATAAGTAAAAAATATAATAATTTAAGGAAAAAAATAAATACCCGATATAGTGGTTCAAGTTGATCTCAGTCAGAAGGTGAAATCAGACAAGCCACTACAGTAGGAACTCTCTTCCGACCTAGAACTAACCTATGTGATTTGACTCAGCCTGTTTCTGGAACACCAAGCACTTATCCTTCACACCCTCCAGCTTCTTTTAAAGATAAGTGACTACCTTCCTCAAGTCCACAACCTCTTGCCATAGACTAGCTAACCAAAATATGGGAGAATAAAAAAACTAAATATGAAAGTGACTGCCCAAAGGTAGCATTAACCTAGGTCCATTAAAGCGGGCTACCTTTTAGCTTAGTTCTACCAAAGGGTAGTGGGGGGAGCCCAAATCAATGAAAAATGAGATTGACCAAAGAGATCTATCATTCAGACAAGGATCAGTCAAATATGAAGGGTTGAATGTAAGGGCTCAAGTCCTAATGCGGAAGGCTTGAATGCACAAGTGTCAAGTGGTCGAATATGAGTAAGCAGTCGAATGCAAATACTGGGAGTAATCACCAAAGGCAGAGAACCTCAATTATCTGTCATATGGTCTGTTAATTTTTTGAGAAAAGATCATCTTATATATGATGACTTTAATGATAATGTGACAAAAAAGACAGGTATATGCCCTTTGTGATCTAGGCATTACAAAGTCCTATATTTGTTTTTTGAAAGAAGCCAGACCCTATAAAAGTGGAGATGGGGGCATTAAATATAAAAAAAATTTTGATCAATGGATCCCCAATCTTCATGATCCTGGCTTCAATAATTTGAACTCTACATTGACTCAGCTTGCTAGCTAGCTAGCTCTCTCTCTCTCTCTTCTTTTGTGCGCTCTATTCCTTGAGTGTAATTCACGGGCAAAATAAGAATTCAACAATCTCATTTTAATATATTATAAAATATTTAAAATATAATTAAAACATATTCAAGTATTTAGGGCTCCAAATAATTGCATAAGTTGTTTACAAATTTAAAAGAAGAAAATTTCACATCCTTAATACATATTATAATGTATTAAAGCACATAAGCTAATATGAAAATGAATGTCTTGTTTATCCTATTAATGTGCATACTTATTGAAATTTAGACTATCCTAAAAAGCTAAAAAATTGATTGAATAAATTTAAATTTTTGCTAAAATCCCTGACAAATCAAAGAAAACATGCTTTGCTTTGCTTAAATAAAGTTAAGTTCACGCCAGCTTGTACGGGCACCCTCCAAAGAATGACTTTGGATTCACATTTTGTTGAACTTAACCTGAGGACAAAATATAAGAAAATTTATACTCTTATTATTATATAAAATAATCTTAATTTATCTTAGACTCTCTGATGCATTGAATTGGTAACTTTCTTATATATAACGTTCTTTCAATACCTTGATATTATTTTGCCGACCCACCATAATGCTCAAAACAATTTCAAAAAAATTTAAACAGAGAATCATATGTTGCCCTACATAACAAAAGAATTTCAAAGAGCATGTTATTGAAGTTACTGTTGTTGGCTCTTCTCATTTCCTCTATTAAGTTTCGATGAATAAATTTAAATGGGAGTCTCATTCAAATCGACATTAATGTAACCGTTTTAGGAGCAGTCCGTCAAAATGGTCACCAAGATTTGTATTACTATGTTTTTGTTAGGGTTGGTGTTGACCCCGAGCGTATTGGTGTTCGATCTCCTAATATTCATAACAAGTAACTTGCCATTACACAAACCAAATCAAATCAACAATTAGAGATAATGTCGCACATCAAACCAGATTGAATGATTCAACAAGATTTTCACTGATAAACTCACACCAATAAATAAATAAATAAATAGACATTTACTTACATAACATACAATTCTTATGTATTCACATATTTCACACCCAAACTTTCATATTTACACAAATATCGCTCAAATATTTAATGTCACATCACATATAGCTCTATTACCACTTCTTAAAAGTCACATTTTAATGCATAAATTTAAAATACCAGTGCTATGCAAATAGTTAGAATTTGTGTTCTACATATGTTAACTTCCATAAGAAAAAAAAAATTCTAGACCTGATTTTCATGCAGATTCATAATATTACATACATACAAATTAAGTGATATATGTAAATAAATCTTCCTTAAAGTTAATATCATGAAGTTCACTGTGCTTGACCTTATTCAAAGAAAAATTGCTTTTGCATGATGAAAAGAATAAAGATTTTAATTTTCAGGGCTAGCTAAGTTGATAATTGGCGTTGAAGTACCAGCCCGCCCCAGAAGATTTCATTAACATCATCAAGACAATGGAATAAAATAGTGAGCAAGCACTGAAAGGGGATCAATTAAAATTAATCCAAAATGTCAACATTGATATTGCATAAATATTAAAGCTACATAACAAAAACATTATACATCGAGGATAAATAATAATCAGGTATCATGATCCAGTCATCTGAGTTTCCAAGATAACATTCAAAATCCTCCGAGGCACATATATCCTTCTCTTTACTGTCTTTCCGAGCAAAAACTTGGAAAGTTTCGCATCTGACAATGCTAATCTGAAAGCCTGATCCTCTGAACAAGCTTCATCAACCATGATAGTTGCCCTGGTCTTCCCATTGATTTGAACAGGAAGCACAATTCTTGAATCACTCAAATACTCACTCTTTGCCTGAACCACAAATCATATTAATAATAATAATAATAAGTGATGATATTTATCTTTCCATACTTCTAGCTTCCACAAAAAAAGATGACAAGAGGCAGACTTCTTGGAAGGAAAGATAAAAAAAAAATGAAAACAATGGAAGACTATTGTTATCATCGAGTCCTGTTTATAAATCACCACTCTCCATTCATCACTGTTAAGTATTCATAAGGTGTTGAACGAACTTTTCTATAAATCCATGTGTAAAACATCTACAAAAATTATCTTAGAAACTTTCTAAAAAAGAAGGCCCAAGGTTGAAATAGAGTGTTTATCTTCTCTTCTTTTAATAATATAGTAAAAAGATAATAATTCTACAGAACCAAAAGAGCTTATTCCACAATTAAAGATGTTATTCGCAACCATGTCGAATCATCCTATCTCATCAATCCAATCCTAACTTATGAAGACAAAGGGAACTTTGAGATCATTTTTTTATTTTCAAAACTATTTGATACACATGAGAACTCGTTACTCTGTTAATTCAGCATCTCTCAGCATAACATACAGCTTTCTAGTTGTTGTGACTTCCATTTCACTTCAGTCGTGCTGCAGAGAAGAATCAGAGAAGTGACAGTCCCACATAGGAAGAATAACGGAAAGGAAAATTTATAACAGATATGCCTTTGTATATTATTAATAGTTGTTGTTACAGAACCAGCTTTTAAAATAACGGCGAGGGTTATGATCGTAAACATGGTACTACATTAGATGTTAGAGGGAAGAGGAGGTAGTTTGGGAATCTACAATATGGGAGAGGGTTGTTACCATGGACCGTAGGTCTCATATGCTTTAGGTAGGGAGCAAATGAGTGTTTCCAATACACCCCCACACACGTTGACAATCCAAGGATAGAGGTGTCAGCTTGTTTGTGAGGAGCTGATTTGGGGAAGATGTCTGCAGTCAGGTCCTACTTCATAATGTAGCAAATAGATTGCTCTTGACTTGAAGTGATCACGTATGATGTGCCAGTCCACTTCAGTATACATAGTTCTGGCAGGAAACAATGGATTGTTGGTGGGATGAGGGTGAGGGCGAGGGCAAAAATGTTTTCACAATAGATGATTGTGAGGGATGTAATGGAGACTTTGAATTCTTGTAGTGGACACCTTATCTAGAGGATGTCAACACTGAGCAAGGCGAGAGGTCTGTATTCCAATCCCGTTGAGGACTTAACCATTGTGGGTTGATTCTTGGCAAACCAAGAAATAAGAATAGAGCCCAAGAAGATGTAAAAAAACAGAGGTAAACTTCTGGTAGAGGGGTTTACTAGCCCAATCAGTATTGGCATAGGATTAGAGAGACATGTTGCTCATTTTTATAGAAAGACGGGAGTTGAGTTTGCCTTTGAGGTAGTGAAGGAGATGTTTTATGAGTTGGTGGTGGTATTGAAGTGGGTGATGCATGCGTTGGCTGGAAAGATTAACTACAAGTAGATATGAAGGAATGTGATGGTTAGAAATTGAAGTGAGCCAATAAGTTATCTATATTGATGAGCAGCTGTAGTGAAATGTAAATAGGAGTTGGGTTAAGTAGTTTAGAGCGTAATGGGTTAAAAATGACATGGATTTTAGCATGCCTGATGAATGGAGGAGGTTGGTGAGGTCAGTGATTTGATGTAGAAAATACCCCTTATACAGATGATGTACTTGTCAGCCAAAAAACCTAAGAGATGGATCCTAATTGTTTGAAGTTAAATTCCTTGTTAACGGTGTGAATGAAGTTTTGTATGGCACTTGTGGAGTTACGAGTGAGAAGAATTCTGGATTGTAACGGAGAAAGGATTGGGCTGTTGTGCTGTGAGAGTGACGACATGGTGAATAACATGAGTAAAAATGGGGAATACTATTGTTTGGAGACTTGCTTTAAGCCATAGATGGCTTTCTGTAATTTGCATACATAGTGAGAGTAATAGAGGTCAATGAAACCTTGCAGTTGGGACATGTAAACTAGGTCCAATTTGTCGTGGAGGAAGGCATTGGACACATGAAGTTGCGGAATAAGCTAGTGGTGAAAGGAAGTTATGATAAGGAGAACTTGAATTGCAGGAAACTTGGTCACGTGACTGTAAGTTTCATTGTAATCTATGCTGTGAAGTTGTTTAAATCCTTAGGCCATAAATCTGCCTTGTGGCAAACTGTAGTTTTGTCAGCGTTATACTTGGTTACGTGTCCATTTGCAGCATAGTATATTATGGTTATGTGGGGGAGGACCTAAGTCCCAGCTTCCCTGTTGTTGAAAAGCGAAGAATTTGGATGACATTGCTGCTTATCAGAAAGGAATTTCTAAAGTGAGGAGGTAGACTCAGAGGAATTAGGAGCTATGAAAAGGTGATAGATGTCAAATTTTGTTTTTGGTTTGAGAGTTCCTGTTTTTGAGCAAGGCACCATGTGATGAGGTTGGATTGTAAGAATAGGGAACGGTGAGAGAGGTTGAGTTGTCGTGGCATTTGAATGAGACGTGCTTATGGAGCTTAAAAATTCAGGTAGTAGAGTAGAATAAGTGGAAGTTGGTCTAGAAGATGAAGGTTGTAAAGCAGATATGGAAAGAGTAAGAAAGGTGAGTTGGGAGAGGTGCGTGTGGACCTGGTTTGAGATAGTAGCTATTGGCGCGAAATGGGGAGGTATTTTCATCAACGGTTAAATGTCTCCAGAAAATAATTTTGGTGGTGTGAATATCATAGCAGCGATAGCCATATGATGCGGATTAACAAAGCAAGGTGCAGGGAGCTGATCTGGAAGAGAATTTGTGAGTTGTAGCTGGCAAGGAAAATATGAGCAACCAAAGGTTCTTAGATGAGCATATGTGCGCTTCCTGTTGTGCAGTAGATGCTAGGGCAGGGCAATTTGGACTGTGTTGTCCGTTGATGAGATAAGAAGTTGTTGGTAAAGGGAATATCCTTAAAAAAGTAAAAGGACAGGTGAGCAGCATTTAGTAATCTTTGATTTGTTTCCACTAAGTGTAAGTGTTTGCATTAAGCTAACCCATTTTACGCTGGCGTATATGGGCAGCTAAACTGGTGAACAATGTCATTGGAATGAAGATAAGATGTCTTCAACTCCTCCATCTGGCCTGGTGTATTTTATGGATTTATTGAGTTGTAAGAGTATCATTTTGTGGAAGTTAATGAGATGCTGTCTAGTTTCAGATATTTGGAACCAGAAAGAGAGGGAAGGGGAAAAGAACCACATTCATCAGAGGGCATCAATTTCAAAAGTATATAAATCCTAATACTAGTTACAACAGGCATTGCAAAACGAAACAGCTGATGAAATGTGAAGTTTGAATGAGATCTGGAGACGGTGACTGTAACTCTAGGGTAAGGGTGACAAAGGTGTTGATGTCAGACTACTGAACTCATATAGTTTGAAGTGCGGCAATTGTTATTTGTGCTGAGAATGGATATAGACCTTAATTAGTTGGACATCAGAGAAGAATTTGCTTGATCGTGGATACAAAAACCAAATTAATCAAATGGAATAAGACGATTGTTATATTTGGCTAATTGATAAACTGAAATGGGGCTGTGAAATAGTGTGGGGGCTCGAAGAATAAAGGAAAGATGGAGCTTACAGCTGAGGGTGGGAAGAATGACATTGCCAGTATGGATTGATAGGAGCTGATTGGCCATTGCCAACAAAGATTTGTCCTATTCCTGAGCAAGAAGTGGGAAGTTGTAGGTTGTCCAAGTGTGTGGAGAGGTGAGAGGATGCACATAAATCCAATAATTTGCAGGAATGACAAGATTTCAGACAAATTTACAGGAGATGATGGGACGAATTCTGCTATTGGCGGAAGGGTTTGTAATTTTAGTGGTCATATGGCAATTTTGAGTGGAGGATCAAAAATTTGTCCGAGGTTCATGGCTTCGAATTACAGCAGGGGCAATGGAAAGACTTTTTTTTTTTGCTAATTTGGTTGTCAATCTAATTTCTTCACTGTTAAGTAAATAGTATAAATCATCTAGGTTAACGGGATTTAGTTGAGTCCTAATGGTTCTGGTGGAAGGCCATTGAGTATGTAGAGGAAGATGTCCTCATTGTCTAGGCATGAACCAGCCATTGCAACGTTGTCCACAAGGGTTTTTACTGTTGGCAGGTAGTGGGAAATCGTCTTTGTTTCCATGGTTATGTGATGAAGTTCTTTCTCGAGTTAGATCACCCAGGATCTACTGGAGGATTAGAGTAGTCCAGATTGCTAAGGTGTTTTGTAGATGTAGCACATGGGGTAGAAAGGGACTGGAGATGATGGAGAAAAGAACTGCAGCAAGGTTCTGATCTATGAGGTGCCACAGTGTAGGGTATGGGTTAAGTTCCTGTATGCTGGAATCGGTGAAACTGAATTTGGGTGGATAGGGTGTAGTTCCATCTAGGAAGGATTCAAAGCCATTTGCATTGAAGTGTTTGAGGACTTGTGCTTTCCATACAATGTAATTGTAATTGGTAAGAGATGAAGTAGATATAGTTTAATGAGACAAAAGGAATTTTCATGTGGTTCTTTAATGATCCAAAACTCCTGTGAAACTTTTTTGTTAGAAGCCCATTAAAGTATCATTTTTGATAATTTATAATATTTTCTAATTACATCTGAAGAAACAAATAATTATCTAAATTTGAACTATGTTAGCTAAGAGTTTAAATCTGTTAGATCTATCAAAAAAAAAAAACCCCCACACCCTGAGACATCCAACCTGAGACATCCAACATTAAATTAAAATATGAAGAGTTTGAATCCAAACAAAGATACACCATAATTAACATAAAAACAATTAATTTGACCTAGATAGAATGCAGAAGGCAAGCATACAAAACAGAAAAAGAACTAAGAAACATTAAAAAACAAATTCAATTATAAAGCTACAAGACTCTTTACTACCTTCAATACTTCCATTTTTTACTTTTATCCGCCAAAACACAATATAAGAGAATCCAAACATATGGCAACAGAACTATTTATACTACATGTATAACAAAAAATAATATTATTTTGAGTGGTTTGTCTGAAAAGCAAATAATCAAATACAATACATGGGAAAATAAAGCAAATATAATAAGAAATCATCTCTTGTGCTAATGAGAAACACAACCATACCTCTGGAAAATGCTCATAAGCCAATGATTTTGAATTCCCCAAGCGAGACCATAGTTCCTCTGCTATGTGAGGTGCATATGGTGAAAGGAGTAGAACAAATGGCTCAATAACGGATTTTGGATGTCTATCCCACTGAAAGGAAAATGAAATTATGATATCCTTGGACATGTAACCCATAATCCAAAGAAATGAAAAATACATAAAAACAATCATAATTAATTCTATTCATGAAACTATAAATCATAACTTTCAAGGCTTTAAATAAACTGAGAATAAAATATAAACCTCACAGAGCAGAATTGGGTTTAAGCTGATAAAATAGACAGCTATTGTTTTACAAAGAAGGTAAAATTCACAGTAAAGTGCATAGGAACTAAACCTAAGCAGCTCGGTCATTATTTAGGTTAATTCCCGAGTAGGAAAATGAGTCAAGCTCAAACACGTTAAAATTCAAAAAGATTGTCCAAGCTCATCTTGTTTTATAATTGAGCTAAAATATTGTTAAAACCAAATGGAAGGCAAGCAGTGACCATTAAATGCATAAAAAATTTCTCAATTGATAAGTAAAATAAAATAATAAATCATTAAAGGAACAAAACAACAAAATATGCATTTTGCATGATTTCGAAAGCATGCTTAATGATTATGACTAAAGGAATGCATAAGGTAAAAATAAAATTTTTATCTATTCACATAGAAGACATCCAATTGTCATAGTAAATAGTATTTATATATATTTATACAATACAAATTTATTCATTTACTTTGCATAAGCTCAGATTATTTTTACTCAACAAGTTATAAAGCTGTGCACATGCTGTTAGAAAATGTCAACTTGGATTGACAGATTGATTCTCACGAAAAACAAGCATTAAATCATACTCTGATTGCACAATGTTGATTCAGGTATACTTTTTAATGGCATAAAATAATGCTACAGCTCAGAGTAGCAAGGCACACTATTTTCGCTACACTGACAAAAAGAGGGTAGACTAAATAGTGCGGGAAACATAGTCTATGTAAAGTATGTTCTAAGGAATAACACGAATAAAAAACATTTTTGTTGGATTAATTTTTTGAATGATACTTAAATTACTATTATTGAAGCTCCATTTTGAGAGCTACCAGCGCATGAAAAACTTTAAAGCATTTGAAACAATAAAAATAAAAAGCATGATGAAGAAGATATGATTTGGGAGTTAACGATGATGGAGCAAAATTTTTTTTTATATGATGATGATAATGTTTCTGAAGGTCATTGATTTTTATGCAAAGAATAAGTCATATATGCGAAGGTTTTCTTTTATTTTGAGACAAAACTTCAAAGTTCAGCATTTTACCCTAAAACTAAGCCTGCTACAACCATCATTATTTTGTGTAAATTTAATTGTATTGTTTGCCTTTGATGGTAATTTTTTTAATCTATTGCTTCCATTGACATTCATTACGCTAAGAAAATATTTGGTTCTACTATGTGACATTGATTGTGCTTTTTAGCTTTTTAGGATTTTTTTATATTGTCGGATTATTAATAAATCTTTCATGATTTTTAACCTTTGTGATATTTTCAAAAATAGCATGCACTATGCTTTGAAATATACAATTTGGCTCCACGATACTCTTAAGCTATTCGCCAATGACAAAAGATGTTCACCATAAAAGTGTGGAATAAGCAGGTTTTCATGATCAGGTCTATAGAAATGCAAAATAAAAAATAATAATAATAAAAAAAAAAAAAAGAAGTACGACATTTCAAAGGAGAAGCACATGCTACGATAGTAAACCAACATGCAAGAATTTTAAGAATCAATATCAGTAATATTATGTTACTTTTCTTGACAATAGTTATAACGGATAAACCGAAAAACATTAGAATGCAAAATTATTACTGCTGAAACTTCAAAAGGAAACATAAGCACAAACGAGCCCATACGATGAGGATGGAGGTGGTGAAGCCGACTGGACACCGAAAGAGAGGTGGTTCGGGGCTTGCTGTAAGAGATAAAGTGGTTGGAAGGGGGTGTGACTGCAGGTTGCAGTGAAGGGGAAGGGTGGTGTCGGCAGGTGGAGGTGTACGAAGGGGGGACAATAGTATGCTAAGTGTTGGGGAATTGGCGGCAGCATATGGGGCTGCAAAAGTGGGCTGACAACAATAGTTGGGGGTATAGGGTGGATCCAACGACAGCAAGAGGGGCTGGATAACGGCAGCAACAACCAATGATGGAAGTGGGACTAGCGGAAGCTGAAACATGGAGGTGGCATAAGAGATGAAAATGGCGAATACGCGTGAGGTAGAGATCATCACCACATGGGGAGCAACATACAACCAAAGCACCACCTGTCCTCGGATACCGCCCACAGGTGCTAAAAATGCTCCTCAGATTGGTTGTTTACCAGAATGTCGTCAAAGTATACGACAACAAATTTCCCAATGTAAGCCCGGAATACCTGATTCATTAGCCTCATAAAAGTGTTCCGCGTGTTTAACAATCCGAATAGCATAACTGTCCACTTGCATAAATCATTCCTTATCTTGAAAGCGGTCTTCTACTCGTCTACTGACCTCATCGGGATCTGGTGATAGCCACTGCATAAGTCCATCTTGGAGAAGATAGTGGCTCTATGCAACTGATCCAAGAGGCCGTACTGGCGAGGAATGAGAAACGGGTACTTGATGGTAATCATGTTGACAACCCTGCCGTTAATACACATCCGCCACCTTCTTATATACCATCAGGGCGGGGCAGCACATGGACTGGTACTCACCAACCCTCACACAACTAGATATTGTACATGTCGTTGCAACTCTTACTCTACAGGTCTCAATCTGTAGGCAATTAGGTTTGGAAACACTGATCCAGGTATCACATCTATAGCGTGTTGAATGTCCCTCAGTGGCGTTAATCCCTCTAGGAGAATGTCTGTCATCACATCCTAGTATCCTAGAAATCATGTAGTAGTGACTCTAATGGTGTTGGTATCTCACTCTCCTCCTCAGTTCCCTCTAATAAGACCAATGTAATTGCCACTCGAGCATCCTGGACTGAGTGCATATAGGTGACACTTGAGACTAATCCCTTCTCTGTGCCCATCTACACCTTTTACATCCCTAACAGGAAACAAAAATATGCGTTTCTCATGCTTTTTAAACGAGTAAGTATTCTTGAAGCTATCGTGTTGGGCCATGAGGTCGAACTGCAACAGCCTCCCCAACAAAATGGGCATGCACACACTTGCTCCTGTAAATGATCCCCAATTGAAAATTCGACAAAGCATTGAAGATCTACATGTCTCAATTTTCTTCTTTAATCAGGAAGGAAATAGGATTGAGAATGTTTTTGCATAGCCAATCCTAAACTCTTCACCATAAGCGTGAAAACCACATTTTAATAACTCCCACTGTTGATGATAAGACTACCAACGCTGCCCTTCACTATAAAATTGGAGCGAAAGATATTGTGTTAGCCATGACTGGTCTCTTTTCGATTCTAACTGCAGAACTCTCCGTATGGCTATATCTCCCTCGTCACCCTAAAGCTGAAGTTCTTCCTCAAGACTATCCTCTGATGCCTCGTCCACGTCCTCGACAATGTCATGATCCGAGAATAAGACAACTCCGCTCGTGGGATGGCTAGAGGCTATGTGTCCGTAGTTGTGGCATCTGAAACACTTCCTGGTAAGCACTGTCCTAAAAGAGCTGCCCTTTTTTGGCTTCGTTCCACTCAGTTCTGTCTTTTCATTTCTCTGTTTTGTCTTGCCAACTCCGCCAAAGATACCCTTCTCAATCGTTTTAGTTGTAGGTGACTGCCTGACTGAAGACTGCTGTCTGAATAAAGATCGTTTCCTGCTCTGGTTTTGTTCTTTCCACGCTCATAGCTAAGGTTTGAACATCCCCAAACGACCAATATAATTGTAACTGTAAAACAATGCTAATAGCGGGCTTCAGGTCCCTCAGGTACCGGGCTATGGTGTGTTTCTCTGGCTCAACCAACCCATACTTCATCTACAACTGGTCAAAATCTGCGTAAACTCCTCCACTGAACAATCTCTCTGCTGCAAGTCGTGTAGTCTAAAGAAACATATCCCAATGATAATGAAGCGGAAGGTAATTCCTCTACATCTCTTTGCTCATCTTTTCCCACTTGGTAATCTTATCACTGACTTCTTTCTTCCTCTCACTGTGTAAGTTCTCCCACCACGATAAGGCGCTTTTTTTCAGCAAGATAAATGTTAATTTTATCGGTTTGTCTTATGGCACTTACTTATATCGAAAATTTGTTCAACTGATTACAGTCAGTGGATAAAGTCATATGGATCCATGTATTCATCAAACTCTGGCAGATCCACATTGATATTGTTGTGTCTTCTTTGATATTGAATTCCGAAGCGAAAAGACCAATGTTTCTCATCACTGATGTCTTCTTTGTTAAACAGATTCAAATCCTCGAACCTGTCTCCCGTTCAACTCTCTAGCTCACAGTTATGGGTAATCTCCTATCGGGTTCCCTCATCAAGCTCTGCGCCCATTTGTTGAAGCTAACGGATCTCCCGCTGTAACTCGTCCCGGGTAGGTTCCGACATATATCTCCATGGTGGTATGATTAAAGTTTTAGTTTTGAATGGATGGTTGAAGATAGAAAAGAAAAAAAATTTGGTGGATAGGCAAGAAGGATGCTTGGAAACCCTAGCATGGGAATAGAGTCGAGCAAGCTCCGATACCAAATGATATAGGAGTTAACCTTAAAAACAACATAACCCAAAATTTTTATTCCTGAAATTTTAAAAGGAAATATAACAAGGTTCTTAAAACAGAAAATAAAGAACACAAGCACAAGCAAACCCCAAAGGTGAGGACGGATGTGATGAAGCCGACTGGACAGTGGAAGAGAGGTGGTCTAGGGCTTTTGGCAAGAGACAAGGTGGGG